ACAGTGTCTGATGCAGATGTTTAGAAAGATGGCTGAATAACTAGTAATCAAACAGAAGTGATCGTGTTACGTAATGCTCTCCTAGGTGTGTGTGTGTGTGTGTGTGTGTGTGTGTGTGTGTGTGTGTGTGTGTGTGTGTGTGTGTGTGTGTGTGTGTGTGTGTGTGTGTGTGTGTGTGTGTGGAACTGGTAATGGTTTGTGAGTTGCCATGGAGGTGTTTAAGCTGTGTTGGTACTCTAGTGTAAGTAACACATTGGGGTTCTGTCTTACTGTGGAGTAGTAATTCACCTGTACACCTGTACTTATGGGATGGTCGTCTAACTGTAGGGTTCTGCTTACAAGCTGGCCCTCTAGGGGACATTTCCAGTGACTGGGTGTAACGGTGTTCTACAGTTAGCACACAGGGTAAAGATGCAACTACTGTGAGCAGAAACTAATGTAACCAGCCTATTATAGATGGTCTTCAGGTGTAAAAATAAAAATATCTGCTCAAACAGCCTTTTTCAGGAGCACAAGAGTCTGAGGAAAACCCCTCACCCGGCTGTTGTTTCTTTGGGTCAAACTGAGCTCTGTAGCAGATTTTCCTCTTGCTGTGATGGTTTTATGGCTCTCAGCTGAGCACCAAATAGCAGTTGCTTTTATAAACTGAGCACAACTAAACAGGAAATTGGTTTTGGTCGATTATTTCTTTGTTGTAAAAATGCTTCTTGGCTATAAATCTGACATTGTTGGAAAGTCTTGTTAGCTACCTTTACAAACTATAACGGCCATGTATCTGTGGAAGAAGTACCATGTCTCAGACCAACCAGGGTTCAGTAACAAAGATTAAATAATCTACTAAACACAGACATCTTTACTTTTTGTGCTAAACTTAATTTTCATGCTTCTAGATGGTCTGAGTTTTCCTATAACTTCCTCATCATATCTGTAGATTTAATGTTTTTATTTATTGGTCCAGAATCATATCCTGGCCTGCCAGACTCGTCCTCTGTTTAATTCTGCACAGAGTCTGGTAACTCACAGGCAGAGGCACGTGAGGGGAGGGACTAGGCAGCTCAAAAATAACCAATCAGAAAAAAGACAGAAATGCCGACTTTACTGCATGACGCTGTAGTTTTCTAGCTGTAGTAAAATAATAAATAAAAGGCGTCTGGCAACGGCGCACACATCTCTTTTTTTTTTAAAGAAATGCTTTTAATGTAACTGGACTCAGCCGCACTACTTCGTCCAGTCAAGAAACGTTCTGCGTTGTGTAAATGATGAACGACTCAGAGGTTCAGGTTCAGCCCAACTGACGGCGTTTTTATTCTCCAGCTGCACAGAATGGGATAACACACAGTTCAGCAGCAGCGAAAATCATCTAGCCGATCTCAGCTCATCTCCCTCCAATGCCAACACGTTCTCACACCCAAAGCATCAAAATATGACGCGTGTGACCAAGCCTCAATATATGACGATTTGGGACGCCCCATCGCGTCAGGAGACGACGGTCAGGGACACACTGATGACGCACCGTCCCAGAGCGTCGGTATCCGACGTCGGTGGTGAGACGGACATTAGAACGACTTGTGAACTACTTACCTTTCCCCTCACCCCATTCCTAACCTTAAGGTCACAGTTACTGACCTTAAGGTTAGGATTGGGGTGAGGGGAAGGTTAAATAGTCAAATAATGTCCGTGTGACGTCAGTGTTTGACGCCCGCGGAGCCACGTGTCCCTGCGTGTCCCTGATCGTCGTCTCCTGACGCGCTGCGGCATCCCGAATCGTCATATATTGAGGCTTGGTCACACAAACTTTTCTCAAAATGTCTAAAAATAAACACTTAAAATGAGAATCTTGAATGTAAGACAATTGTTTAGGGTAAGTAAAATAAAAATATATAATAAAATAAGTAAATTGAATATAATTAGGGATTTTTGGTCGAATGAATTGCACATTTTTCTACATTGACGCTTCTGCTTGTTGTTGTGGTTTAAAGACATTCAAGTCATTTAGAAAAGAGGAAAGAGCCGCAGCGAACTCCGCCGCTGTCTTCGTTGTTTATGAGAAACTGAGCATCGCTGTGTGTGACGTCCGCGCGCTGTAGTTTTTTAGCTGTAGTCAAAAATGGCGTCTGACGACAGCACAAACATCTTTCTTTAGAAAAAAAGGCTTTTAGCGCTTCTACTTGTTGTTTTAAAGACGTGTCCAAGTCATTTAGAACAAAGGAAAGAGCCGCAGCGAACTCTGCTTCATTCGCCATGTTTATGACAAACTCGGCGTTGTGGTGTGTGACGTACGCTACTCAGCGCTGATTGGCTCGGTTAGAATTCTCAGGGGGTGGGGTTATTTGAATAGGAGAGTTCCCAGACCCTTTGTCTGTGCAGAATTAAGCAGAGGAGGAGTCTGGCAGGCCAGGCTACCAGAATCAAGACCACAACAATCCAGTCAGGTCTTATGTCATTTCTAGTTAAAATGTGTGATATTAGCTGTGTTGGTACTATTCAGAAGATATAAAGATGTTCTATATTATTCTCATATTTAGATCTGATGTATGTTGGCCTATTGCCACTTTATAATCAAATTCACTGAGAAATCATTTTTACTTGTTATTTCAGAAATATGATTGTTACTCTGAGTTTAGCATGCAGGCTAGTTGTGAAAATAGTCTGCTACTCATTTTTTCTGCATTAGCTGCATTAGTCCATTCATGGACTTCTCCATCTGATGGGGAAGGCTGTTGTTAATTTAACATCCAGGAGAGAGTAGAGCGCGTCTTGGCTGGTAGAAGCTAATAGTTAGCATTAGCAACTCTACAACATGGTAGACCTCAGTCAGGCTTGTGTTATTTGTGGAGATAAAACATCATCGTTGCAAAGCAAACCGAGTGAGTGGAAAAATCGAGTTGCTGTTATCCATTCAGAGTAGAGATGTCCAAATATTATGAATACGCTGCGACGGCACAATTTGGAGTCTTGAGCCTTTAAGACTCCAAATTGCGCCGTCTTCCCTACTCCACCGGCTCACTTCTACTTCCTGAAACAGAAGCACCAAAACTTTCTTTCCACAGAGATCAACTCACAAGTCATTTGTTCTTATTAGTGACCACAGCAGATTCATTGCAATAACAAGTGAATGAGAGCTTTAAAGCAAAAGGATTAGCATTGACGCTAATGCTGAAGAGTACCGTTTGTGTTTGGGCAAGCTAAAAAAAACTGTTAGTGGTCCAGGTCTGAAACCAGTATGATGATTGTAGATGATTAACAGTAAAAACTGATGCAACACTTGGAGTTCTGGGTATTAAAGGCCATAATCCCCCACGTGTCATTAAACATGTAAATATGTAGCTGATAGCCACAAATTAATTGTGTGACTGTAAATGTGGTTTCTCAAAGCCTACACTGGCGCACACACACACACACACACACACACACACACACACACACACACACACACACACACACACACAGATCCCACTTGTCTATTAGACTTTCAGTTCTTCCCAATCTTGATGAAAACTGAAGTGCTGTTCAGTGCTGCAGAGCCCGGCGCTGCAGACGTGTCGCCTGGCAAGAAAAAGGAAAGCCCCGCTGGTGAGAGTGTAGAGTGAGAGAGGGAGAGGGAAAAGAAAGATGGATGGCTCTGCTACGTGTGGTGTGTTAAAAGGCTCTTATGTGCAGACTCCCTCTGGCGACTCTCAACTCACCTTCTGACCAGAAAAGGGGATTGAACTAAACACAACAAAAGGAATGCATCCTGTAAATGTTTGAATTTGTCTGCAGATATTTGTCATGCCACTTATGTGTGTGAAGCGTGCAGCATTCTGCTGCGTGGGTGTATAAGAGACAGAGTTTTTGCTTGTTTGTGTTGACAATTTTATTTTTTGTGGCAGTGTGAAGTGTGCGTCAATGCCCTGACTGACATATAACTCACTGAACACCATGCTGTTGGAAGTACATCACTGGGATGTCATAGAAGATGCTCATTTTTGACTCAATACATGATACACCAGCAGCTATCTGTAATGAATGCTGTTGGTCCGCTCATCTTATTAGCTGCTTTCAAAATTCACTTTTTGCCCAGAAAGGAAAACTAAAAAAGCAGCTTCCTGTGCGATGCCAGCCACATGAAGTGTGTCATCCTCTTTCTGTGCCGCTGTCGACTGTTGTGGGCTTGTCTGCGGCTCACGGTGCCTGCTTTCTGGAGTCCCGGGGAGCCGGTGCAGCAAGTGCCACGACTCGTCGTGGGGTTGTTTTCATTTTCCTGCATCAGACAATGCATGGTGCAACATTTGCATGACTGAATTCAACAAGGCTATTTCTTGAAAGAGTTCCTGCTGTGATACGGTGAGGCTCAGGGACTTCTGGAGCTGACCACTTAACTGCCCGCGCTTGTCAATAACTCTTTATAAAGATCAATTTGGACAATCAGAGGAGAGAGCGCCGCTGGGGCTGAGGTCCCATATTGAGCTGTTTCAGTGTGGTGATGTTACACGCAGCTCTTTTCCAAAGAAAGAGCCTCACCCCTCTGGACATTTGACTTCATTACAGGAATGTTCACCTCAGACTGGAGCTATAAACTCTGCAATGAACTGAGCCTTTTGAGCGGCTTCGGAAGCCCACACTGTGTCCAGGTGGCAGTTTTGCTGAAAGGGGTTTGACTGAAAATAATTAAAGGTATTTTATCAAAAAAGGAAGGTTTTTTTTATTATTGCATTCATCCTACACTGGAGTGTTTTCTACTCTGTCCCACCTGTAGTGGAGGCTGTGATAAATGCGGTTGTCATGACACCTGGGCCAGCCAATGAGCGGACAGAAACGGGCATCCACAGCGAGCTGACCATTCACCTCCTAACCTTTCATGCTGATTATTAATCCAGCTTACAGTGCTCTTCCTGTGTCCCTCCATCACAAATTAACCTTTCTCTTCTTCTCTCCCTCCTCCCCTCCTGTCTTTCTCTGTCCCTTACTTTTCACTACCCTGCCTTTGTCGTCCTCCCCTGTTGTCCTCCCTCTTGCAGCAAATTTATTCACGTGAAAGTTATTGACGATGAGGAGTATGAGAAAAACAAGAACTTCTTCCTGGAGCTGGCTGAGCCTCGCATGGTAGACATGAGTCTGCAGAAAGGTGCAGTACTGAAATGATTTCTTCTGTTTTATCTCCTTTAACCTCACTGCTCGTAGCTTTCCCACTTTGCCTGTCCTCTCTCTGTTTTACCCTAACGTTCCATTTTCCATCCTCTGTTTAGAGTTTCTTTCATAGGGCGGTTCTTTAAAGTCAGACCTGGTGTAACATTACATCATTTTCATCACCATGACAGCTCACTCAGATGCTGTCATCCTCCGCAATAAATAGTCACTTTTATGTACGACCTCAAAGAAGCAATCGGACATTTTTATGTGAATGTAAAATTAATTCTAACCTAAATGCAGAGTCTATAAACTATTTTTATCCACAGACTTCTGCTTGAGTGATAAATGCATGAATTTAGTCTCAGTGAAATAAGATTATTGCTGGGTTTTTTTTTCATGTAAAGCAAAATATGCATGTGATTTTGGGGGCTAATAAAGTATTCATGAGTTTATAGAATTTGATATAATTTGCATTCCTCAGACTTTTGAACATTTGTTTTTTAAATAAAGCTTTTTCTTTGTTTTTGTTTTTTATAATTTTAATTGTTAGATATTCAGAATTGGGGCTTTTGAAAAGAAAAAGGAAAAGAAAAGGAATTTCAGAATTCAGAAATTTAAGAAATTCTGAGATTAAAGTCAAAATTCTAATTGTTTTCTTTTATCCTTTCAGTGGCCCAAATATTCTTGTGTAGGTAAACAAATCCAGTTGGTGTGTTTTTCTGTTTTATAAACTTTTAGAAAGCCAAAAAATTGTCCACGGGAGCTTTTCTAAAATGTGTCTAAACACTTATGAGGGTTCAGAATGTCGGCGTCTTGTTTTTGTGCTGCTGGAGTTTTAAAGATATTTAAAATATTTGTGTGACGGAGTCGTCACGGTCGTCTGGAGCCAGACTTTTCTATGCTGATTGCTAGTTTGTGCCTGCGAGTAAGAAGAACCAGCAATGTGAGACAGCTTTGGGCCAGGTGACCACATTCAAACATTTTATTTACTAGTGAAAAAAAACTTAACTTCTATCAGGAAAGCAAGAAGAAATGTTATTTCTGTTTTTACATACATTTTTCATGTCATTTCAGAATATTTGCAATGTTGTGTTTTTATCTCATTTAGCTTGACTTTTTTTAAAAGATATCTTCATCTTTATTTCTTTTATGAGGTTATGAGTGGAAGTTGCATTGTTTGACGAACGAATAATAACACAACACAAAAACTAGTTTTTATTTTTAAAAATAAGTTTTGAACGTTAAATGTTCTTCAATAATTTTTAGAATAATTTGTTTTGCTGAAATTCATCTCAGAATGTAATTTTGATATATATAAATAAATAAATACATAAAATAAATAAATAAATCAAGTAAAGAATATATTGAGTTATAGCTCTTAGGCCATATTTCCATTTCCTATCCAAATAAATAATAAACCAGCTTTTATCAAGCACCCCCGTCATGCATGTTTTCCATGTCTCTTGATTCATTTAGGTCAGGTGTGTGGCAGCAGGGAAACACCTAAAACATGTAGCACAGGGGTGCTGAGGACCAGGGTTAAAAAACACTACATGAAGGAAAAGCAAAGCATGGCTGCAGCTGAATGATGCTCTGCTAATGAGAGAGGGCATGAATCCCCTTTGAGATAGAAACATGAAAAAGAATGAAATTAATCTTTCATTTTTTATAAAGTCACATGATGTGCTTTGGACAATATTTACTATTTGTTTTAACAGCTTCAGTCCTGTTCTTTGTGATTGATTCGAGAACGGCTGTGTTCTGCAGACAGTAATGAGAGGAGGAAGGTAAGCTATCTGCTCAGACAGAACCAGGATGAAGATAGGCAATGGCCGCTGAGGCTATGGCGGATACACGCCAAGGGCCAGGTTCAGTCTGAGAAGGAGAGAAAGAGAACCTCTGTGTGTCTTTTATTCTGGCTCCACATTCTCACAGAATCATGTAAAACATGCAAACAAAAAACATACTGGTTTGTACTTACAGTCGACTTTCATTTATATATTTCTGTGTGTGTGTGTGCGTGTGCGTGTGCGTGTGCGTGTGTGTGTGTGTGTGTGTGTGTGTGTGTGTGTGTGTGTGTGTGTGTGTGTGTGTGTGTGTGTGTGTGTGTGTAGCTTCTTTGTACACATCTCAGTAATGGAGCACATGTTTTATTCTACTAATTGAATGACACATTAAAGGAATATTCCACCCCTCAGTGAAAAGTAGTCTGTTGCCATGTTCCCCAGAGTTAGATCAGTGGGAAAAGGCATTTGGTAACCAGCCCAGTCATTCTGCTGATCTGGTAGCATTCTATTAGCTTTAGCTTAGCATAAACAATGAAAGTGAGTGGCAACAGCTAGCATTTTGTGTGTTGCTGGATGTAGTTCAGTCAGCCTTTAGACCAAACCATAGCACAGATTCTGCTTTGATTAGGGTGCTAAATGACATTCTGGTGGCATCTGACTCTGGGTCTATGGAACTGCTGCTCCAGCTGGACCTTTCAGCGGCTTTTGATACGGTCGATCACCAAATTTTACTGAATCGGCTTGGGTCTTGGGTTGGGGTGGCGGGGGTGGCGCTTAAATGGTTCCGCTCCTACCTATCAAACCGTACGATCTCTGTACAGATTGGTGACTGTGCATCCTCCAGTCTTCCACTGCCTTGGGGGGGGGGGGGGGGGGGCGCAAGGTTCCGTTCTTGGGCCATTGCTGTTTTCAATCTACCTTCTGCCTCTGGGCAATATCCTGAATCAGCATGGCCTGAGCTACCACATCTACGCAGATGACTGTCAGCTATACATGGAAATGGACGAGAAAAATGCGGGCTCGAAATTGGCTGCATGTATGGATGACGTGAAGGGCTGGCTGGCATCCAACTTCTTAAAACTGAATGAAAAGAAGTCTGAGTTTATTGTTTTTGACCCCCGCAACCACCATGGCTCTCACCCTGTTTGTGACCTTTTAACCCTAAACCACAAACAGTGTGTGACGAGTCTCGGGGTCAAGCTGGATGCTGGACTCACAATGGCCCCACAGATAAACTCTGTAGTGAGGTCTTGTTTTTATCAGCTTCGCCGCCTTACTCACCTCAGACGAATCCTGAAACGGAGGCAGTTGGAGTCAGTCATTCATGCATTCATTACCTCTCACCTGGACTACGCAAACGCCCTCCTCATTGGTGTTCCGGACTCTGCCCTGAATCGGCTGCAGGTTTTTCAGAACGCTGCTGCCAGGTTCTTGATGGGTACACACCGACGTAGCCACATTACCCCTGTCCTGGAACATCTTCACTGGCTCCCTGTCATTTTCAGCGTGCAGTTTAAGTTACTGACTTTTGTTTTTAAAGCACTCAGTGACCTGGCACCTTCCTACCTCTCTGCCCTTCTCACTCCATATGTGCCCACCCGCTCGTTGAGGTCGGCTGACCTTTTGCTGCTGCACACGCCGCGGATGAGGCTCAAATCGCGGGGTGAACGAGCATTTGTCCATGCTGCCCCAAAGCTATGGAACTCATTGCCCATTGGAGTTCGGCAGGCTCCATCTCTGGCGGTTTTTAAATCTCGTTTAAAGACCCACTTTTACACTTTGGCTTTTAGACAGTGACTCGTTTTAGTGTTTTATTGTGTCATTGTTTTAATGTGTTCCTATTTATTCATGTTTTCTCTGCTTTTAATTGAGATTTTTATCCTTTGTTTTAGCTCCTTGTAATGGGTGTGTTTTGTTTTAGCCTGTGCAGCACTTTGGGCAGCTCCCATGCTGCATTTTAAATGTGCTATATAAATAAACTATGCTATGCTATGCTATGCTAAATATCATGAAAAGGGCAATTCTGCATTGGTTCTTTTACTAACCCAAATATTTGTTCCCACCCCCCCCCCCCCCTCCTCTCTCTCTCTCTCTCTCTCTCTCTCTCTCTCTCTCTCTCTCTCTCTCTCTCTCTCTCTCTCTCTCTCTCTCTCTCTCTCTCTCTCTCTCTCTCTCTCTCTCTCTCATCTGGCCAGATGCTAAAAGGGGCGTTTTTGTTTGTAAACGGGAACACCCACTCCAAATGGGAATGCCCCCTAGCCTGGAAAGCCAGACTAAATAATACATTTATTTATCTAAATAAATGTATTATTTAGTCTGGCAACGCTTCATTGACGGCTCTCGGTTGTGGGGCGGGTTCTACGTTGTCTTTCAAATGATCTCCGCATTCCACTGGACAATGAATGTGACATACTCTTGTTTCACTCTGTTGCATCATCCCACCCACCAGGCATATAGAGTGCCCTGATTGGCCCACAAAGTGGATAAAGCTCTGTGATTTGTTCACTAAGCAGATAGAGCACTATGATTGGCCCACCATTATGGACCAATCACAGCTCTTTATGTGTTTGAAACCCCTCTGGAGAGCTGTGATTGGCTAGCCAGAGTCCTGGTAGGAGCTGCGGAGGTTCCAATGGAGCGTGCCTAGACCAAACTTTGCAAAGCAAGAATTTGGTCTAGTTCACTAGGCTAAATGCCCCCTTCTTCAAACTCACTCTTGAAATATTACTTCACCTCCGATGTTTCAAAATAAGATATTTTCTCCACTCATCTATCTGTTCCCCGTCTTTTTTATACCGTTTTTGATCATCTGTGCTCACCCTGCTCTCTGAACCCAAACCCGCATTTAAGTCCCGCCTCCCTATTTACTCAGTTTGTACAAATATTAAACTCAAAACGGGAGAAAAGGAATTGACGGGACACAGACTTCTCTCTCCTCTACTTTGGACTGTCTCTCAAGAGAAGCGCACACGAAACACCGCAGCTAAAAGCCAGTGGCTTTTCAAAATAAAGTACATTTTAAATGTTTCATGATATTTAAATTAATTTCAAACTACGATTATGGTTAGTATAAGTACGCAAATATATAGGCTATGTGTTTTACGCCTTACATTGTTTAACAATAGTGTAAGGGGTTATGATTTGTTATGATTGGACTTTTATGTTGAAGGGGTGTTGTTGGCCGGTTGTGTGGAGAGTTCCGGTTCGG